CACATCTCGTGAGGTGTTTTGGCAACCTTCTTTGTGGGTACTAAATTAAGGATATGGGCGGCAGTCTCTAAGGCATATCCCCAGAATGAGATAGGTAGTGAAGCACGACTCATCATGGAACGAACCATGTCTAGCAAGGTTCGATTACGCCTCTCAGCTACACCATTCAATTGTGGTGTCCTAGGCGGCGTCAATTGTGAAACTATTCCACATTCCTTGAGGTAGTCGTGGAATTCAAGACTTAGGTACTCTCCACCTCGATCAGATCGAAGCATCTTGATTTTCCTGCCCAATTGATTCTCCACTTCTTGTTTAAACTCTTTGAACTTTTCAAAGGTTTCTGACTTGTGCTTGATTAAGTAGATATACCCATATCTGCTATAATCATCTGTGAAAGTCACATAGAAGCGATTTGCATCCCTTGTGGTAAATCTAAAGGGTCCACATACATCTGTATGTATGAGATCCAATAAACCCTCACCCCTCGCACAAGTTCCAGTGAAGGGTGACTTGGTCATCTTTCCAAGTAAACAAGATTCGCACGTGTCATCTTCCCTAAGGTCGAACGACTCCAACACTCCATCCTTTTGGAGTTGGGCTATGCGCTTCTTGTTGACATGTCCAAGACGACAATGCCACAAGGATGCTTTATTCATACCATTGGAAGAATCCATACACAACACATCATTTCCTAGGTTATCTACAACCATAACAGTTTCATAAATTCCATTACAAGGCATTGCTTCAAAATATAAAACACCATTTAGATAAGCATAAATCGAACCATTCTCATTATTAAACGAATATCTAAATCCTTGTCTAAATAAACCATGAAAAGAAATGATGTTTCTTGCCATATCTGGCGAGTAGCAACAATTATTAATTCTAAATTCAAACCATTCCTAAGCTCTAAAGAATACACTCCAATCTTGGTGACAGGTGACGTTCTTCTGTTTCCCATGATCAGATTTATTCTTCCAAGCTCCACATCCCTATTTCTTCCTAGTCCCTGCAAATCAGAACAAATGTGGTAACCACACCCTGTATCAAGAACCCAAGAAATAGCATGAGATGAATCATTAGATTTAATTGTGTAAATACCTGCGAAAGATGGCTTGATCTTCCCATCCTTGATGGCTTGCAGATATTCCGGGCAGCTTCTCTTCCAATGCCCTATTTTGTGGCAATGGTGGCACTCTGCCTCCTTTGGGTTTGGGTTGGGCTTAGCAGGATCAACCTTGGTCCCACTAGAAGAGGAACCATTTTGGGACTTTCCTTTGTGGTGGTTCTTTGAAAAAGCCTTCCTCTTCTTGCCCCTTCCCTGTCCAATAGCCAAAACAGGAGCAACGGGTGGATTGGGAGTTGGTGCAACAGACTTGTCCTTGAGGTTGCTCTCAGCAGTCCTTAGGAGCCCTTGGAGTTTGCTTAGGGTGACCTCTTCCTTGTTCATGTGGTAGGTCATCCTAAATTGGTTGTAGCATGAGGGCAAGGAGTGAAGAACAATGTCGATAGCCAAATCTTCCCCAAAGTTGACATTCAACTTGCGAAGACGATCAACATACCTTTGCATCTTTTGCAAGTGCACAGTAAGAGACTCTCCACTTCCCATTTTAGCAGTAATCATATTCGTTATGATTTCATAGCGCTCTTGCCTCGCGCTTTGGTGATACCTCTCCATCAAGTCTAGATGCATCTCATAAGGATACATGTCCTCATAGGACTTTTGGAATTCTGAGTTCATTGTGGCTATCATGATGCAATGGACCTTCGTTGCATCACGCTCATGGTTCTCAAAGACAGCCATTTCTTCAGGAGTAGCAGTTTCTGGATTGATCTTTTCGAGCTTCTCATCGAGAACATACTCTTTGTCCTCGTAACGCGCGATTGTGCGAATGTATCTTATTCATTCGCTAAAGTTCGTTCCATCGAATGTCACTTTTTGACAAAGGCTCATTAGAGGAAATGAGCTAGCAGCTGTGTTGTTTGCGTTAGACATCTACAAATAGAAAGAACAAAGTTTGATTAGATTAAGTCCCTAATTAACACCCAAAAAGAAAATTAGGGCTAGGACCCAACAACATTATTTACACATTAGAAAAGGGATGCCGTAATCCAACATGCAAATAATTTGGAGGTAAGTGAATGACGATTCACTAATTCTTCACCATGAAAAACATAAGCTTTAAGTTTTAAATGTATTGAGAATTCCTAGATTTCAATGAGATTCATTGAACCTTTCAATGACATGTTTAAATCTCGATATGCCCCTCTCGTTTGTGACTGGGATGCCGAGGATCACAAAGTGGGTGTGAATAACCATGCAAATGCACAAGGTGCCCCCACTGTTACAGTTACCTATTCAATGTGCTGGTTAACCACACACGCTCCATTAAACTATAACAAACAATGAGTCACCCTTTGCCACCTTTGCTTAGAACCCAATTAATGTGCCGGTTAACCACACGCGCTCCATTAATGTCTTAGCGAGGGTACAAAGTGTAATTTCATGGGATTGCATCAATTCACTTTTCCTAAAGTAACTAAGATTGGGAATTTTATAAAACATGTTTAGTTACTTTATAAGATTCATTATACTTATTAATGAGAAGAGGTTTGCCCTATCCTACCCGTTCGGCTAACGACCCTCCACCAGTCAAGCAAGCGGTGGGTGTGAATGTACACCCATTAAGCGCCATTTTATAGGCAGCAACCTTATACCCACCTTATAGACCGGCTTCGTGAATGAGGCCTACTAACGGTAAGACTAGCATTGTAAATCATACATATATATATATATATATATATATATATATATATATATATATATATATATAAGCTTGTAATAATATAATAGTATAGGGTTGAATTTTAAACTTGTAAAATTCTAGGGATTGAAATTTAAAATTATCCAAATTAAACTTTTAATCACAAAATTTAAAATTTCAAAGCTTGAGGACAAGTCTTGAACTTTTTCAAAGCATAAGGATCAAATAGCAAATAATATAAATCATCTAATTAGATTATCTCAATTTGATCTTATTTAATGTTACTTGCAAAACAATTTACCAATTCAATTCAAATAATCAACAATTATCATATAAGGAAATTATTATTCAACTAATTGGTAATTATCTTTTGTTAGGTCAAGAATATACTCATATATATGATTAAAATCGGATTTTAATGACCCAAAACAGTTAAGGCAAGTATCCTCAAGTAAAACAGCAAGAAATCCCGAAACTTCCTCCTTCTGACGTTCGAACTCGCCGAGTACCTCTATGGACTCGCCGAGTACCTCTATGGACTCGCCGAGTCCACAGTGGAACTCGCCGAGTACAGCAGTCAGAATCACAAAATCGAATTTTTCAAGCAACAAGCAATCAACCAATGCATCAATTCAATAGAAATCAATCAAAGCTCTGATACCACTGATGGGTTTGAGCCATAAGAACTTTCCTATGTGCATATGCAAACCCTAATTGCTTGGATCTAGGTTTCTCTAATTGAACATGCATTGAATCCAAGACTTGCAAAACTAGATCTAATGTAATATATTGAATCTAATCATATGAAATCAAATCTGAAAGAATACCTTGAATTACTTGCTTGATACTTCTTCTTCTTGGAGCTTAGAGTCACAATTGTCACTCCTCTAATGGCTTACAAACACCAACTAGCAAGAAGATGATCTTGAGAGAGAGGTAGGAGGGATAGAAATCGGCCCTAGGGTTCCTTGGCTTGCAAGAGTGTCGATTTCTCCACCCCAAGGGTCCTATTTATACTATGAGCTATTAGGGTTTCTCCTTTAACCCTAATTGAATGACTTAGGCCCTAAGCAATCCAAGATCCTTCTAGATACAAGGCTTGGACGAAATTAAGGTTCCCAAGCCCCTAAATTTCGTTCACCCTAATATCCATAAGGATACATAGCCCAAAATACAACTATCACACATTTGACAGTTTATGCCCTTTTATTCAATTAACCTCTTTAAGTCACCAAATTAATTCTCAATTAATATATGACTTATATTAATTAAATAATATTATTATTCCTTAAAAATATATTATTCTCATAATATATTAATAATATTTCTTCTCTCTTAACAAATCATCCTGTCAAGTTGCTATGGTGAAGGCAACCCAAAAGGACCATGCATAACCGGGTCAAGTACTTACCAAATATAGTTATAGCCTTAGACACTAATCCAACACTCTCATCCTAGGCTTGCCCTAGGGAAATCTCTGACTCCACCCAATCCAGTCCTCAGCTGCTGAAGGCCTCCTTGTAATGTCAATTAGCCATCACCTGAATACCATCACATGTGGCGAGGCTCAGATAATCCTTCGAGTAAAAGACTCGTTCCTACAACGGTTAGACTCAAACAAGAGCTGCGCAATAGGGCCAAATCTAGCACTCTGAGATTATTCAACCCTGTTCACATGTGACGTGACGTATTCACCTAATGGCTAATTCCATTCACTCCGAGTCCCATAAATCACGAAGCAAGCAGCAGTCAGACACAGGAGACTACTCAAGCAATTCTATCCTCATAATAAGAAACTGTACTAGCATACAATGCTAAGCTCATACTATCAGGCATAACCTAAACAGGCTATCCTACTGATGTCTACTCAATACTGGCATGCAATTCTCGTAAAGCTGAAACACATATAGCAGGCACATAAGGCATCCTCCTAGATCCTTATTCCTATTCTAGCATGCTGTTCTACTGAAACTGGAACTGATATACATAACATAAACTTGTATGGGTAATTTGGGAGTATTTACTTGAGCTCGGCTGATCGCATGCACCACACCCTTTTCCTTTTCTCAAAACTCTTTTTCTTTTTAAGTTTCTTTTTCAAAAATTTCTTTCGAAAACATTTTTCTTTTGAAAAATCTTTTACCGTTTCCTTAGTTTGAGTCCAGTCATACCCGAAAGTGTGCCTGAATCCCTCAAACCAAGGCTTTGATACCAACTTGAAACATCCCAAAATACGACCCAAAAATTTTTGTTTTAATATTACTAAAATCACATCATCCAATGTCATACATACTAAGAACCATAGAATGAGTAACTCAAAAGTCAAGTAATTGTGTCAAAACAAATACTGTATCAGTCATATCGAAATATCTGAATAAAACTACCAGGATAAAACTGAAGCTGTGGTGTGTGCCATGCCATCATCCCGAGCTCTTCCCCTTACTTGCGGAAGTACCTGAAACCAAAAACTGAAACTGTAAGCACAAAGCTTAGTGAGTTTCCCAAACTACCACATACCATACAATGACATGTAAGCAAATACTGGGCCCCGCCCACTGCATCGGGCCCCACCCGGCATCGGACTGAAATCCGGAACTAGCTTTGGGCCCCACCCACTTCACCGGGCCCCGCCCGACATCGGAACGAAGTCCGGAACTAACCTGGCCCCCCCAATACAGCGGGCCCCGCCCAATATCGGACCGAAGTCCGGAACTAGCTTGGGCCCCGCCCGGCATCGGACTGAAGTCCGGAACTAACTGAGCATAGCATAGCATAATCATAACTACTGGCATAAACACATATACTGCATACTGCATTGGACCGAAGTCCGGAACTCATATCACAAAAACATGCTTGAATCACAAAGACATCAAGCACACTGAACTACTGCATCAGACCGAGGTCTGGAACTACTGCTAACCAAACGGGCCGGCATTGTGGCCGTAGACCCGTTCCTACTGGAAGGAAACTCACCTCGTAAGCTAGATGCGGAAAAAAGCTACTCGGGAACTGTCTGCTACTGCTCCGGTATCTCCCCGGCTACAATTCCCATAAATATACTCAATCAAATACTGATAACTAAACTGGGGGTGAAATGACTATTTTACCCACGGTCAAAGTCAACTTCCTGGTCAAAGTCAACCTCCAGTTGACCGGACTCGCCGAGTTGGGCCGCCAACTCGCCGAGTCCCTTTCATCCGTTCTAGTCCTCTACTCGCTTCTACTCGTCGAGTTTGGCGAAGACTCGACGAGTTCTTCTTCGATACATACATCGAGTCTAACTTCATCCGACTCGCCGAGTTGTATGAACACTCGTCGAGCCTGAAGAACAACTCGCCGAGTCCCAAGCATGCTATTACCATACAGTCGATTCTAATCGATTTCAGTGCTTCCAAATCATAGATCTAGGCTCTTAGGGTTGGTTTTACACGTAAAGTTTCCAACTTTACGTGCATGCATGAAGAGATGAGGCTAGAACATCAAAATAAGCTAACAATGGGGTCTTAGGGTTTGGAACTCGACCTTGGGTGCATAAAGGCAACTACTTTGAGCTCCTACAGCTCAAATATACTCAGATCTATGATCCATTTCCTTATAGGAGTCCCAATCTCGAGTTTGGATCCAAAAAGTCCCAAAAAGAAGCACATCTAAGCATACAAGACTATCAAATGGAAATAACAAGCAAGGTACAAGCTTTAGTACCAGAATGTGAGGCTGATGATCAAGAGACTCTGGATCTTCTTCTTCTCCTTTGGATCCTTCCTTCTTTCTTTCTCTTCCAAAACCTCCAAACTAGCACAAAGACACTCAAGCTCAACAATGGGGGCTAGGGTTTACAGGGGAAATGCTCTAAAGGTGCTGGAGGCTGGGGTGGGAGGCTATAATGACGTTTATATAGGGTACAAACCCTTGAAATTAGGGCTTCATCCAGACAGGCAGACTCGTTGACTCCTTTCATATGGACTCGCCGAGTAGCCAACTTAAAATGCGTGCACATCCCGTCTCTACTCGACGAGCTGGGCTACAGACTCGTCGAGTATCCCTTAAGAAAATGAAAATTACTTTATTTAAATCACATACCAGAAATGGGGCGTTACACCGTCAAACAACCATGTGCACATAAAACAATTAATCACATAACAGATCCTTAACCAGACAAACAGTCTAACAGATCACATAGCATATTATCATCCTAACCAGGATTCCGACCTAACCGGTCACTAGCATAACATTACCCTATATTCCGGGTACCGACCTTAACCAGTTCACTAACATAACATTACCCTATATTCCGGGTACCGACCTTAACCAGGTCACTAACATAACACCATCCTAAATACCAGGATGCAGATCTAGCAAGGCAATAACATAACAAACAATACCCGGATTTCCATCCGATAAAGGGCCGGCCTTGGTGCCGTAGACCCTGTTGATATAGTGAGGATAACTCACCTGAAATGAAGAACCGAACCACGGAAGCACACACCCGAAGCACTGCCCCAAACTCCAACACCTATTGTCATCAATGGACCATTGACATAAATAACCAATTACCATAACACCCTTGAAGGTCAAAGTCAAAGTCAAAGCCAAAGTCAAACTTCTTGACTGACCCTACTTGCCGAGTCAACCCGTTGACTCGTCGAGTCCTTATACTCTGAAAACTCTTAGAACACGACTCAACTCGCCGAGTCACCCCAAGACTCGTCGAGTCCAACGATCTCCGAGTCCCATCCTGTCCAAATCACTGAGTCACCCCTCGACTCACTAATCTGCGTCTTAACCAGAAGAGGTTAGCGGTTCTGCGACCTAACTCGCCGAGTCCAAGAACAGACTCGCCGAGTCCAAGGCAAACTTCAACAGACTCGCCGAGTTGTTCTTCCAACTCGCCGAGTCCATGCACATGTTCATACAACTCGTCGAGTAAACCCATGTGACTCGCCGAGTCTCTCCAGTTCTCAATCCATACAGAGGCTTTTCGAGCCATGTAGGGGCTCCAATCCATAGATCCACTCTTCTACAGCCTAACCCTCACATAAAGTTGCAAACTTTACGTGAAACCAAGGAGATATAAGCCCAAAACACTCTAGGGCTAGGGTTTATGACAAATGGGCTTTACCAACAACTCTTAGACAGAAGCTTTATGACATTTTGGACCATCACAAGCCTAGATCTGAAGTAGCAACCTCAGATCTAAGCCTCTAACTCGAAATAGCTCTCAATCATACCAAAAATGCCCCAAACCTCAAATGATAATAGATCTAGATGCAAAAGAGCCCAAGCAACAGATTATTACCTCCAAAATAAGCTCCAACTGAAGTAGATCCAGGATCTACACCACTCCTTTGCAGCAAACCTCTTGATCTTCAAGCCCCTTTCCAAGATTTTCTCCTCCAAAGCTCTATTCTCTCTATTAAGGTTTCTGGATCTCAAAAGGGTAGCAAAGAGGCTGAGGGTGGGTTATAATATGCTTTATATAGGGCACAACCCCCGGGATTAGGGTTTTCTCTCATCAGCACCAACTCGTCGAGTCCAAGCCGCCGACTCGGCGAGTTGGCCACTTAAACCGCGATAGAATCCCGCTCCGACTCGGCGAGTAAGAGGACCTACTCGTCGAGTCCCTTTCCTAAATTTACACTTTTGACCCTTCATTGAACAATTGAAATTTGGGGTGTTACACTTTTGTTTGTTTTACAGACAAACAACCATACAACCAATGACAAACATATAGACACATGCACATAGGCTAAGATACCATTCGTTTTGTCAAAAAAGGGAAATTATGGCTTACGAAACTAATTGAATGATTAAAATCAATGAATTTGGAATAAATGATTAAATCAAAGAACATATGACGTTAAGTAATTTAAATATATATTCTAAAATAACAATGTATTTTGCAAGTACATTGTAAACATAAATTTTTATAAAGATTGTTAACAACATATATATCTACAACAAATATAACATCAGTAAAACTAAAATGTTAATCATGATCCTCTATAACCAATCAAGTATGGTACGATAAGTATAACTATAAAATGTACCTTTCATTTAATAAAGAAATAAATATATGTCAACTAAAAAGAAATCATTATAATTTCACTTCAAGTTTCTGTCTTTTCTTACTTTGTCCATCATCTTTTTACATAATCATCATTTCCCTATGCTATATTATATATAAAATTCACGTCAGAACCTCATTTTTATATGAAAATGCAATCAAATAAATAAGGTTGTGTAATTTACACTTTTCCAAAATCGTACACAAAGAAGCTCTATGTCCCAATTAGATTTAGGACTCCACATTTGCAGATAAAAAGCACTATTAATGGCATTCAGCTATATAATTAACAAAGCTAAGTGTGAGTCTACCGATTAGCAAAACTACCTAGAATAATCATCAATTCACCTCATTTGGGTTGCAGACACCGTAACTTATGATATTTTATAAAGAATTAAAAAATTATGCATTTAAATAATAAAAAAATATCATAATATTGACCTATCATGAAACAAAAGTAATATGGGACATTTTTGTTGGTTAAAAGTCAAATCGAAAACAAATATCACATGAGATGAGATTTTACCTTCTCGCGGTCAACAATGGGAATTAATTTCCTTGTGAAAAAAAGAGAATAGTTTCTTTTTGGTAGTATAAAGGGTTTAACCTCTTCATTATATCTTCATACTGACCAGGAGGATCGAACTTGAAGTCCCCATTAGGCTACATGTTATCAAAACTAAAGGTTAGCAACCACAAGGCATATTGTTCCGACTTAGAAAGAACCCCTTGTTTATCCAACAACGAATCAACTCTTCTTTGAACTACAAATTCTCAAAATTACATGTAATGTGACCACCAAACATCCAACATCTGTAAGTAGGGAGGTAGGGAATAAGCTTACCTTTGTCAATAGAAAGAACACGTTATGATGGCTGAAAAGCACAAACGGTGAAAGCCATTGTTGTCTCTGTAAAATTTTGCCTTCAAGATTTGGTGATCAAGAATGAAGTTTATCTGAAATCAAAGGTTTCATAGGTTAGTTTCCATCGATATTATGCCATTATGATTTTACTTACAAAGAAAACTTCAGCCGAGTAGGGAGAAACCATGGTTTAAAGACAGAAATTAAACTCCTTGTTTTATGGTACGCTATATTTGATTTCGAGAGAAAGGCAGAGGGGGTCGAAGTTTTCTATTTGATGAGGGGATGAGGAGCTGTTTAAGGAAGATAATTGTTGCTGAGGATGGAAATACGAAAACACATGAACAACAGTTCTTATGTTCGATTCTTACACTCCTAGAGAACTTTGGGGCATTCAAATTGAGTGGATTTTTGGATGGTGGAAAGGCCAGACAAAAATATCCTTCTGATTGCTCGTAAGTCCATATTACTCAGACTCAAAATAACCAAAGATGATAGAACTTCCATGGAACTTGACTTCGATTAAGGTCTTGATCTGATCAATATCTCATAAAATAGGGAAAAAATGAAATTAAAGTTCAAATAAACAGAGAAAAAATAAGAAGACACCTAGCTTTAACTTATATATCCTTAAAACTTTTGTTTAAAAGCCTCTAAGACCTTTCTTTCTACCCACTGATTCATTGTTATCTGCATACTTTCTTGTGCCTTTTAAAAAGCTTTTCTAAAGCAGCTGCAGAAGCACCAATGCCATAATTAAAATCCCATAAAACAGAGAGAAAAAGAAGAGTACTTGGTACAGAAAGTAACCTTGAATAGTTCGTGTAGGTAACGACTGGAAAATTCCACTCAACACCGATCAATGTATCAAATGAAAAATCAAATTAAAACTGGGATTGAAATAAAAAAAATATCAGAAAAGGGAAAAAACTGTAGCATTTTCTTAATTCAACAAATAAACAAAATTTTGATAATCCAAGGAAAAGTGTTAAGATTCAATAAAAGCAAATTTCTATACATTTTGTTTAAAACTTAGACTGATTTGCGACTATATGTATCTGTTGGAAGACCGCTTCACGAACCCTGAATAATAGGAGCAATCAGTTGACTTTTGCAATCATATAGAGAATCTACCCAAGAGAAGCTGCAAGAAAAAGTAACTTGGAAGGCAAACTTTGAAAATGAGAACCTTATGACAAGAGAGACCGTCAATATTTCATTAGTTCCCTACGGATCGAAATTTTGATTAAGGTACTTATAAACAAAAAAAACACGTTAAAATCTTAAATAATAAAACTGAAGACATTATATGAAAATGGGAAAGAGATTAGTCGGACCTTATAACATCCTGCACTAAGTTATTACAAAAAACTCAATCAGTAAGTAAAAAATTGAACTTGTTAGAAATTTAACCTCACTGAAAATCACCGTATGCATTAATTACAATGAAGAAGTAAAGAGATGATACCTAATCAGTCACCAATTGATTCCAGAATCATTGATAACATCAACTCTCTCCGAATCTAGTAAAAATAAAAGTGTAACCAAAACCCAGATTAAGAACATCTTGAACAATCAAAATTGAAACCCAATAACATTGAAATGTCACGAATGCTTATCAAACAATATTAGGGTTAACCAAAAAGTGGTGAAGTACAACCCAACAACGTCATCTGTGAGAGAGATAGAGGGAGGAAGAATATATGTGTGTGATTTCTTGCGATTTTGTCCCTGATGCGATTATGGTTTTGAAAAATGAAAAAGATAGATTGGGATTAGGTTTCATCATTATAGAAAATTTGAGCGTGATTTGATTTTTAAAATGGAAAATTGAAATCGGTGGAAAAGAGGAAATAACGAAGAAAGATAGGGGATTGGCGGCAACAAAAGAAAGGAAGATAGGGTAAAAGAGGAATTTCAGTTTGATGAAAAATGGATTGCAGGAGGATACGTGGTAGAGAGGACTCTTTTATTAGAGAGGGGATATTCCTTATATTTTTCTAAATATATTTAAGAAAATACTAAGTATTTTATCTATCTTTTTTATACGCTATATGACAATTAAGTAGTATATATTTTATATTTTATATATGTAATACATATAGAAACAATGAATAAAATGTGAATTTACATTTTACAAACTCAAGTCATGTAAAATGTGTAATGATTAACAATATTTTTTATAGCTACACATTTAAATTTATAATGTCTCCATTTTAATAATTGAATTTTTAAAAGGGATATATACACTAAAGTCCTAATATTTTCATCGATTTGACAAGAAAGTCCTAAACTTTATTTTTTTGACAGTAAAGTCTAAATTACCGGCAATTTTTGACACTTTTACCCTTTTTTCCCGGTTAGCCGGTTATTAGGATTTTTTTGTCAAAAAAATAAAGTTTGGGACTTTCTTGTCAAATCGTCAATTAGGACTTTACTGTCAAAAAAATAAACTTTAGGTTTTTCTTGTCAAATCGTTGAAAATATTGGGACTTTAGTGTATATATCACCCTTGTAAAAGTTTCTTCTTGCTTTTGCCGCCAAATCTTGAACTAAAAAGTGGGAACAGATTATACAAACACAAACAACACATGCCTAGTCAAAAGGGTGTAAATGTTGAGAAGGGAAAGAAGGGCAATTTCATTTTTTTCGGTTTCTTATTTCTCCATTTTTGGGACTACAAAAAGCTAACACAACCCTGGTTTTTTCTTTCTTTCTTGATTATCTCCATTTTTTTCAATGTCGGTTTGTTGAGATTAAAAAAAACTATTTAACAAGAAGCAAACGTTAAGGATTTCAATAGGATCTAGCTGACTAGAAAATGTTTCAATAACTCTTACGCTTAAAGAGTATCATACCATTAAATTTCTAACAAAAAAAATGATATATACACTAAAGTCTCAATATTTTCAACGATTTGACAAGAAAATCCTATAATTTATTTTTTTGACAGTAAAGTCCTAATTGACGATTTAACAAGAAAGTCCTAAACTTTATTTTTTTGACAAAAAAGTCCTAATTACCGGCTAACCGGGAAAAAAGGGTAAAAGTGTCAAAAATTGCCGGTAATTTGGACTTTACTGTCAAAAAAATAAAGTTTATGACTTTCTTATCAAATCGATGAAAATATTGGGACTTTAATGTATATATCCCTTTTTAAAATTCCATAACATATTTGCATCATAATTTTATTTTAGGATTTATTATTGTTTTAAAGATAAAAATATAATATGGATTCAAACAACTCTAAAGACAAACATAAACATATAAAATTATATTTAGATAAAAGAAATTTAATGTTTACACCTAAATTTTCAACATCATTTTTTAAAGTATGTTAATATTTTTTATTAGTATATATTGAATTACTTACTTTACTCATGATTATATCATTTTTATTTATGTAAAAGTATTACTTTAAAAAATACGTAATGTTTAAAAATTTATATTAAATTTATATTTTTAATAAACTCGTGTACTATACGGGTCTTACACCTAGTTGGCTAAGAAATGAAAAAAAAACATATGGAACAATCAGATTCCATGTTCTATTCCATTCAATCAAACAAAACACAGGAAGATACAACATTCTTTTATTCGAATCATTCCATTCTTTCCCTATTCCATTATACCAAAATTGCTCTCGTCTTAAGTTAAACTTCAATATACGGGAGCAAAAACATAATTTTGAGGGAAACAAAAATAGTAAGTTGTTAATATTAAAAACTCAAACCGATATTTAGTTTAAAAATTTTTAAAAAAAACAAAAAAAAAGCAAAAAATAAAACCCAAAATAAAGAAAAACCCCTTCTATCTTCAAGTATATAATAAAGATATTTAAAAATATAAAAACAAAAAAAACGAAAAAAAAAGAAAAAAATCTTTTAAAAGAATGAAAAGAATAAAAAAAAAGAAAAAAATTAAGACGTTAAAACCGAGCATATATCTATTTTAAAAAATTGCTTTTTTAACGAAAAAATAAAAAAAAACCAAAATAAATGAAAAAGAAAGGAAAAAACCCATTTAAATGACGCACATGATTATCCCATCGAGTCCGTATTACGTTCCATGCACAAGTGCCGCGTGCGAACGCGTCACGACCAATTAAATGAGTTTGACGTTTGTGTCATTGACGAAATGATTTGTGGAGAATAGTTCTCGTGGTTCCTATCAATTTTTGGATTCCTATCGGATCCTGACCTATATATATATATATATATATATATATATATATATATATATATATAGAGAGAGAGAGAGAGAGAGAGATAGCTTTTAAATGTTTCTCACATCTATTGTGTGCTAGAATGTATTAATAAGAATTTACTAAAAAACTAAATTATTTAATTAAATAAAGATAGATATTAAATTATTTCCATATATATATGTAACACCCTGTTCTGAAAGTATCCGTTTATGGATTTCAGGGGCCAAGGCTAGGGGCGTTCCAGTCTTTTATGGGTTTTGAGTTTTTATTCGAGAGATTTTGGGTCGGGGTGTGTCGCTGGAAGCATAGGGCTTCTCGCCACCTTTTCGTGGATATAAGGTTCGTCGGAAACGGACTTAGGATGAATGAGTTATAGCACTGTGAAGTTATTGTCAATTTTAGTCCCTAATGGGGTTTTGTGACAAGACAGTCTCATGCATGCATGAAGTGTACGCGTGTACAGGAGGTACGCCCAGCGTACGTCCAGAGTCCAAAAACCCTAAATTTAGGGCATGCCACTATATAAAGAACATAATGGCTCAAACCCTAGCCTCTTTATCCGTCCCCAAACCTCAGAAAAACCCTAGAACGCCTCATCCCTTCATTCTTGTGAGATCTTGACCTTGGGAAGCTCATATTGGTGGTTTTAAGCTTGGAAGAGGAAAAAAGAAGTGAGAAGGAAGGTGGTGGACTGAAGGAGGAGATATAGATCTGGGTTTATTGCTTCATTCCAGACTTTATTGAGGTATAAAGTCTTGAATCTTAAATGCTTAGATCTTCTATGATGGAGTTTTTTGACCTTTTTGGTCCCAAGATTGGACCATTTTGACCCAACTCGTTTTGTTAGACTTAGAATTGTCTTTCTCAGTTTTATATGAGTCCCTAAGGCAGAAAGTTGCCACCTTGATGGTCTTAATGGACTCATGCAAGAGATAAGATCACTTTCATGGAAGTAGATTATCATTTTGGAAGTTTGGGCTTGTTTGGGCTAAGTTAAGTCACCAAGTCAGTGACTTTATGGATTAAGACATGGAAAAGGACCAGGATCTGTGATTATAGATTCTAAAGTGGAGTATTAAGCCCTTAATGGGAAAAGGAATTAACAGGGGACTTACGCTGAGCGTATGTGCAGGTATGCCCAGCGTACGCGCCTTCAAGCCAGTACGCTTAGCGTATGTAAGCGTACGCCCTACGTACTCTGTCAGTTTGGGTTTTGCATTTTGGGCCTCGGTTTGGGCCCTGCTTTGGGTCTTTGGGCCTTAGTGGGCCAACAGAAGTCAGATAGTGTGGGCCAAGGAAATGTTTGGGCTTAGAGTAAGGCCCAATAGAGGGATTGGGCCCAATTTAGCAAATTGGACCATTAGGGGGCCACTAGTGGGCTTGGGAAGCTTACCTAGTGTTGGGCCTTAGTTTTGGGCCTTAGATATGGACCAAGTTGGACTAGGGGTAGAATGGTCATTTTACCCTAAGAAGGATTATCGAATAGGACTAAGTAATGTTTGGTATTGGTAGTTCAGGAAGGCGAAGAGTCAGCAGTTCGGGAGTTGCCAGTCGGCAGCCAGAGGAGTATCCAGCAAGGTTCAGCAGTGCGAGGTGAGTCTCCTCATTGTGTGCATGGGTCTACGGCCATAATTCCGACCCATTATATTTATGTATAGTAGGAAGAACCGGGGGTTAGCCCTAGCCATTTTATGATAGATACAGCGGGCGAGGCCGAAGAATGTTAGTATGCTAGAGGTAGTTTTGATTCTTACAGATGACAGTGTTTATAGGTTTCGGACCAATGTCCGATGTCGGGGCAAGCCCGAGGAAGGTTTATGCGTTGAATGTTAGATTATACTTGTTGTCTTCGTGATACTTGTATGTGCCTGGTAGGGAGGTGAGTGTGGGCGAGGTCCCGTATCTCATCACTAGCCGAGTATCGGCGGGGTTCCGTATCTCATTAGTAGCAGAGCAGGGACGAGGCCCGAGTTAGGAGGGAGGTGAGTGTGGGTGGGGGCCAGTATCTCACTACCAGCAGGAGCGTGGACGGGGTTCCATGAGTCATCAGTAGCAGGACAGGGGCGAGGCCCAAAGATAGGCAAGGCCTTAGATCAGGAGTATAGTAGAGTACGTTCAGTTTATTCGTTATGTGTTATGTTATATGTTTGTATGTGTTTAGCGGGCGAGGCCCAGAGACAGGCGGGGCCTAAGAGAACAGGTGTGTATACCGAGCGGGGCTCGATGCCAG